CGCTATTTGGAGTTAAACCGGATTGGACAGCGGTTGGACCGTCGGAATAGTGCCGAATCGCGGTCCAATCGCAGCTAAACCCCTCCGAATTCTGGCATCTTTCGACTGAGAAAACACCCCCATTTGACGGACGACATCTCCACGACCAAACCCATCCATTTTCAGTCGTCGTCGTCCAGCCTTTGTCGATCACCATCCACCTAAAGTTTACACGACGTCGGATTTCTTTTGTTGATTCCGGCGAGTTCCGACGTCGATGGAACTCCGTAGCACCACCATCAAAGTCGCTAGCACCTACACATCAAAAGCCCCAGGATTCTAGCTTCGATTGGCCATCGATTGTTGCTGCCGCCACCACTCACCAGAATCTTCACGCGACAGGGGTGTTTTAGATAGATTTCAAACCTTAAGGGAGTATTATAGGGTTGTTTTTGATGAATTTCAAACCTTCAGGGACTAAATTTTTTTTACAAATTATGGTCCAACCGACCGATCCAACCGGTCAAACCGAAAACCGAACCCTTGAAAGGGTCATTGTCCGGTCCGGTTTTCAGAACATTGGATCAAACTATGAAAAATTAAAAAAAAAAAAAAAAAGTAAATTTAAAAGGGGTCAAAGTGTAATACCTAAAGAATAAGAGAGGTCAAAATAAAAATATATTTTGAAAATTATGTGATTCGGCTAAAAAGGAAAAATAATAGTCTTAAATCTGCTAATTCTAACTCTAGAAAATCATCAAACATCCTTTGAATCTTCAAGAGTCTTGACACAATTTCAAAAATTTTGGAGATAGAATAAAAAGGAAAGGAAATAACTAACCCTTGGGTGACCATGTTGTTTGATAGAGACTTTTGGGCCTATTACTTAAGAGGTCTTGAGTTCGAATCTCTCATCGATTACTAATAAGAGTGATCACTAGAACTCTTACTCGATCGATAGTTCCAAGGTCTCGAGGATTAGCTAAGGTGCTCATAAGCTAACTTAGACACCATGATCATAAAAAATAAAAATAAATAAATAGATAAAAAGGAAGTTCATTTTAACGAGCTCAGTAGTCAATACTAATAATTCCTATGTGGATGAGATGTCGGATGAGCTAAAATTAGACCTGGCAAAATGGGTCTGGACTCGCGGGTCGACCCCAAACCCGGGTAAAAAATATAGGGTGTGGGTCTTTAATATTGGACCCGTTTTTGTACTACCCGTACCCGGCCCAACCCCTTTTGCCAAGGGCGGGTGCCCGTTTGTTTTTTAAAACAAAAACACCTTTCCCCTTTTCATTTTGCAGGGATTCCCTGAAATTAAAAATTGAGGAATCCAAATGGGTGGTGAACTGATGAAAAAGAAAGTGGGAAAGTTGAGGAAGAAGATGATAAGAGGAATCCAAATGGGTGGTGAATTGATGAAAAAGAAAGTGGGAAAGTTGAGGAAGAAGATGATAATGGGTGGTGAACTGATGAAAAAGAAAGTGGGAAAGTTGAGGAAGAAGATGATAATGGGTGGTGAACTGATGAAAAAGAAAGCGGGAAAGTTGAGGAAGAAGATGATAAGAAGCGAGAGGGAGTTAACAAGAACAAGACAAAGAGGGCTACAAACAAAAGACGAGGGATCATCCACTAAATATCAAAAGCTTNGTTGGGACTAAATAAATAATTATTTATAATTATTCATATAAAGTTTTGAGGCTTGAATATATTTAAAGTGTAATGTTAAGAAAAAGGGAGGAAGATCAAACTATGAAAAATTAATGAAATTTAAAAATTAAAAAAAAAAAAAAAAGTAAATTTATAAGGGGTCAAAGTGTAATACCTAATGAATAAGAGAGGTCAAAAAAAAAAAAAAATTATCGTGATTCAGCTAAAAGGGAAAAATAATAGTGTCTTAAATGCTAATTCCTACTCTAGAAAATCATTAAACATCCTTTGAATCTTCAAGAGTCTTGACACAATTTCAAAAATTTTGGAGATAGAATAGAAAGGAAAGGAAATACCAGCTTCTGGGTCATTAAGTGATTTAATAGGGATTTTTTTGTGTATTACTTAAAAGGTCATGAGTTTGAATCTTTTTTCGATTACTAATAGGGGTGATTACTAGAGCTTTTACTCGGTTGATAGTTTTAATGTCTTGAAAATTAACTGAGATACGTATAAACTGACCCAGACACCACGATCATAAAAAAAAAAAAAATAGATAACAAGGAAATTCATTTTAACGAGCTCAGTAGTCAATACTAATCATTCCTATGTGGATGAGAGGTCGGATGAGCTAAAATATAGCCAACCAGGCCCTTCAAATCAGCCTGTCCAAGTTATTGAAAACTCAAAGAATTGGCCCAATACCAGTGATAAACCATAGGCTGGAGCCTTGCGGAAGACCTAAGCCTGTATATATGGGTCACAACGATCACAAGGGTTCAAAGTAGTTATCAACCATCATGGACCTAAACTAGAACAGGAGGATTACAGACCTCTACTGAAGGAGGATTACAGACCTCAATTTTGTGGACTGAGAGAGCAATGTGCAAGTTAAGCTCCACTTCCTCCTGCATACTGCAATAACAATAATTTTCCAGGTTTATAACAAAGAAAATAAGGAGGGAGATTTTCACATACCTCTTTACTCATTGATGAAGTAATTCTAGAGTTTTGACGAAGCAAATGTAGAGTCGAGATGAATCTCCTCAACATGAGAAATTTTTGACAAATTCTACCTGCAACTTTCTCTCACGATCAGAGAATTTTGTATCTTCAATTCTCTAAGAGCAGTAAGATTCTTCATCCCATTTAGCAGATATGACAATTCTGGGCAACTCACAATATCAAGTTTATGAAGTGCTGTGGGATTCGAAAGCCATTCCGCTAGTGTTTTGGTATTTGGACACGCTTCAATCTTCATGTATTCTGAAAGACTTAGCAGAGCCTTGAAGAATCAATTGGGGCAAGTCCACTAGTTCTAGTAACTCATAAATCATGAACACTTGAATGTTTCCAATTATGTTAAATTAAAATTAGGATTCCCATTCCTTTCCAAANTTTCGTAGTTTTGATCAAATTAAATAAAAATTCGATTTTGATTCGCTACCACATACAAACTTATCGCTGTTAATGGAAGCTCCATCGAGGCCGCCAACTTTCAAGAAAGCTTGTGGAAGCTTCTCAGGTTGCTTCTCCTTCAGTTACAACTTCAGCCAAAGATTCAGAGAATTTTAAGACCATTCTTAAAGTGATCCCATCCCCATGTTTTTGCCCCAAATCGCAAAAGCCCTAACTCAAACTCACTCTCTCTGTCTCTCATCAACCTCCTCTCAAACTCATCATCACCGAAATCCCTAACTCCATCGTCGTCGCTTCTCCTGTCTTCGTTTCTCATCAGTCATTAGCCACGTTTGTACTCTACACTGTCGGCGCATCAAGGACAATCGACAAAGTTCTTTTCTCTTTTCTTCTGTTGCTTTTTCTTATGTAGATTTTTTCGTTTTTCATATTTTTTTTTTATGTGGGTTTATTTGGTTGATGAGGAATGAAAGGAGAATCGATAAAGTTAGGTTCTGGGTTTCTGTTTGGTTGGTGAGAAAACGTGGGTTTATATTTTAGGAAGATTTGGGGTGTAACTACAAAAATCTAAAACTTGTGTGAACAGTACGGGCACCCGCGGGTCCACCCATACCTGCATAGGGTAGGGTGTGGGTCTAAAATATTGGACCCGGTTTAAATCGACCCGTTTTAGTCCCGTACCCGGCCCACCCGCCCGTTTTGCCAGGTCTAGCTAAAATATAACCAACCAGGGCCCTTCAAATCAGCCTGTCCAAGTTATTGAAAACTCAATGAATTGGCCCAATACCAGTGATAAACCATAGGCTGGAGCTTTGAGGAAGACCTAAGCTTGTATATATGGGTCACAACGCTCACAAGGGTTCAAAGTACTTATCAACCATCATGCACCTAAACTAGAACAGAAGGACAGTTGATAAACTTGGCCAGCAACCTCTACTGAAGGAGGATCACACACCACAATTTTGTGGACTAAGAGAGCAATGAGCATGTTAAGCTCCACTTCCTTCTGCATACTGCAATAACAATAATTTTCCAGGCTTATAACAATGAAAATAAGGAGGGACATTTTCACATACCTCTTTATTCATTGATGAAGTAATTGTAGAGTTTTGATGAAGCAATTGTAGAGTGGAGATGAATCTGCCTGCAACTTTCGCTCAGGATCAGAGAATTTTCTATCTTCAATTCTCTAAGGGCAGTTAAGATTCTTCATCCCATTTAGCAGATATGACAATTCTGGGCAACCCACAATATCAAGTTTATGAAGTGCTGTGGGATTTGAAAGCCATTCCGGTAGTGTTTTGATATTTGGACATGCTTCAATCTTCATGTATTCTGATAGACTTAGCAGAGCCTTGAAGAATGAATTGGGGCAAGTCCACTAGTTCTAGTAACCCATAAATCATGAACACTTGAACATTTCCAGTTATGTTAAATTAAAATTAGGATTCCCATTCCTTTCCAAATTGTTTAATTCGGGGATTGGGCCTGGTATGAGGACTTCATCCCTAGCTAGGAGAAGGATTCGAGCTGATTGTCTTCCGCTGAATATAAACAGGAATGAGCCCCATGCCACTAACCATGGAAGGGACTGTTCATAGATAAACTCAACCTTTTTGTTTGACTAGTCTGAACATCATGCTGTCTTTAATTTAACGGAGAGCATGCTCAATCTGACAAAAGAAATACATTCTGAATATATGATACATGATATAGCAAATGGAAAAGATATAAGCAATAGAGATAACCAAACAAACAGTAGATTGGGAAACGTTCCAAAGCATTATCCAATACAAACATGATTAACTTAATCAAGCATAAATAGGGGAAATTACCTTTTCCCCTGGAAGTTTAATGAAAATACAACACACCCACAGATTTCAAGAAGTGACAAATACATGAAAATAACAATCAAGAACAAAAAGATTAAAAAAAAAAAAAAAAAGAAAAAAAAAGCAGCATCGCAATTAGCAGGACTCCGAATCGAAACTTCTTCCACTGGTTGAAGACTTTGCCAGAATCTCTGGGGAAGCTGCAACAGTTGAATAATTCAAGTTACTCAATAAGTAAAAGGTCAGAGAAACAAATTTACTCTCTTAAAGGTTATATTCTATATCACTTTAAAAATAAAAAGATTCTGCAATGAATAATTCCAGTCATTTTGTGAGTTGCATGGGGCAAAGGAAAGTGTTTCATACTGTGTATTCGAGATAATTATGTATTTACAAAATACTGTCTCAGTTCATTCTACTCCATCATATCTAAGATATATCGATCAATTCTGATTCTATCTTTTTACTATTGATTCTTTTTCGAGATGTGTAAAATCAACAATATCGATCAAATATGGATAATAAAATCAAAATTCTTAAATAATATAGAATTTATAACATCAAAAAATTTCTATGACAAAGAATTTATGAATTTACATGTTACTTACAAATAATCATATTTCTCGGATGAATTAAAAAGCCTACAGAAACAATATTGTACCAGGGAACTACATAAACAGAACATGAAATTTATCGTCTATGAAAATATATATATTTCTAGTTTGTAGTAGATGACAATAATATAAAAAATTTTAATCGTAGCTATTTATCAAATATTGGATAAAACTTTCCATTTACGGCGGCATAAAAAATAGGGTTACTGCATTGATAACATTATAAAGTGATAGAGAGAAATTTTCACACACCTGGCTATTTATTCATTATTCAATTCATCAATGAAGCTATCATGGATCCGGTTGAATCTCCAGCACATCAGATTTTTTCGGCAAAACCTTCGTGTAGCTTTCGCTCAGGGTAGGACAATTTTTTATCTTCCATTCTCTAAGGTTGGTGAGGTTCTGCATCCCGTCTGGCAGAGATGACAGTTCTTGGCAACTTAAAATCTCAAGTTTTTTAAGTGCTTTGAGACTCGCAAGCCATGGTGGTAATTCTTTGAGCTCTGGACATGCTTCAATCCGCAGGTACTCTAGAGTGTCAGTCCAGTGGTTGGAGTCGCCGCTTTGCGAGTCCGTCTTGCTCGAGTTGGGGTCTTCGCCTTGCAAATCCATCTTCAGATTAATCTTCGGACAACTGCGTATCACCAGCTTCTTTAATCCTTTCAGATCTTTCATATTGTATGGCAATGAGTTCAAGCTACCACAACCTTGCAAAACCAATATTCGGAGGCTGGTGAGTTTTTGCATCCATTCTCCTATCTCTTTTGCAGTTATTTCCAAATACCTGAGACTGGTGATCTTCTGCATATCGCGAGGTAACTTCTGAAGATTTGAACAACCAAGAAGTCTTAAGGTTTGTAAATTCAGAAGTTTAGAAACATGCTCGGGAATTTCCTTCAAAATTAAATTCCAAGATAAGTCTAGACATCTCAAATGTTTCAATGCACCAATAGAAAATGGCAAGACATCAAATTGTAGACCACTTAAGCATAACAACCTGAGGCACTTAAAATTTGATATCCATGTATTAAGGAAGGCCGAAGTAACATGCTCAGATAGTATACTTTGCATGATGATGGTCCGCAATTTCTTGGAAATAAATGGAACTACTTGACCAGAATACTCAATGTCGAGAAATGACAAATGTCGAGCATTTTCTTTATTTTTTGGGAATCTGAGATCTACCACTTTGCACTCTGTTTCTGCTACTTTGAGGACAAGATCATGTACAAAGTCATGCATCTGAAATGTAAAAAAATAACCATGATCTTCAACATCTTGAAAAAAACATCTCGAACTTAATTCGTTGAAATATTGCAACCCAACTTCTTCCAACTCTTTATTTTCATTATCAGTAGCAAGAAAACCATGCGCCATCCAATGACAGACCAGATAATTACTGTTGAAGCAATAACCCTTAGGAAACAAGGAGCAATACGACAAACATCTCCGCGAACGGGATGGCAAATGAGCGTAACTGAACTTCAACGCTTGTTCTTGACTCCATTTTCTGTTTTCTTTGACTAGCGACCGAATAGACGGCTCTCTGTTTTGACGAAGTAGGGTTCCTAAAGTTTTCACAGCTAAAGGATTGCCACCACATTTATCCCCAATTACATCCCTAATTTCAATGAGCTCTTGATCTTTGCTTTGTTCATCTGTAAAAGCCGCCGATTTCTTAAACAGCAATTTAGAATCTTCTCGGGAAAGGCCTTTTAAAACAGACTTGTCAACCGCGCCCATTACTTTCGCTACTTGATTACTACGTGTAGTAACCACAATTTTGCTCCCATTGGGTTTCTGCGTCAATAACTTTTTGAATTTTTCCCATTTATCATCATTTTCATTCCACACATCATCCAAGACTAACAAAAATTTCTTACCGTCCAATTCTTTCAGCAAGCGATCTTCTAACTCTTTGACGGATAATCCAGCCTGATATTGACCAGTTGCAGAAGTATGAGTTTCTTTCATCAAAGTAGCTATATCAAAGTCCTCAGGTGCACGTACCCACATCTTTATAGCAAAGTGTTCGTCTATCATTTTGTCACTATACACCTGTTTGGCCAGAGTAGTTTTCCCAACCCCTCCACCTCCAACTATGGCGATAACAGAGATCTTTTCACCTTCACTGTTTGGCTGCTGCAAAAAGTTTATAATCTTTTTCTTGTCACCGTCTCTTCCAAAAACTTCTGAAGTACCAACAAAGGTGTGCTTTATCGGCATCTCCGTCGAATAACCACGCCTAACCTCGCATTCATTCTGACCACGTTTACACTTAATAGCAGCTGCTATTTCACCAAATCTTTTGTAATCTCAGCGAGTTGTTTGCTCTTCTTGACATAAGGAATAGATAAGCATGTCAGAGTGTTTAATATTTCTCTTAACCAGGATTCGTCTCTAGATGGATTCTCCAATTCACACTTCACTTCACCCACCACATCCTCAGCATCATACAACTGATCTGAAAGCTGTGCAAGGCATTCCGGCAGCTTGCGATTCTGTGCCTGCTGTTCCTCGGCATTCAAGAGGTCCTCTTTGGTTTTCAACAATGTTTCATTGAGATCCATTATTTCATCCGGAATATGCCACGAGAACCTTTCCTTTTTGGAATTAAGAATGGCTATCGTCGCCAAAATGTTAGTGGCAATGGTCGATGGAAATGATTCCGCCATGTTCTTTGAGCAGGAGGAAACAGAAGGGTGCAGATCGGGATAATGAAATTATCTGATAAGTTAATGAGAACTGATGCTTTGATCTTTTTTATTATGGATTGGTTGACTTTTAATTTATCTACTGCAATGTATTACAACTTAGGTCAGGAGCTCAATACTCTCCTGTAAAACTTTAAAATTACCAGGGTAATAATAACATTACCTTTCAGTGGAGTTACTTTTGCTAAATATCTTAAGAATTTAGGAAGATACTTACTTTATTTACAGTTCCAGAGACTCATAAAAAAATCCCTCATGACATTCACTGTGTTTCAATTTCTGTTAGTAAACAGAGTAAAAAACTAGATTATTCTCACTTCAACGTATGATAAATTAACAAAATCAACAAACGAGGATAATATTGTTACCCTACTTACTAATTGAAAGTGATAAACGTCATTTTCAAAGTGACGTAGAACATCTGGCGGATGAATATATGAAGCAAGCTGAACGTCAGAAATCCATAGTAAAACTCAAAGGTCCTAAATGAGCATGTCACATTCAAACGACAATAACTTTTAATCTTAGAGGAGTTATAGGACCTGTAAGATACAGTTATAAATCTTATTTTGAGCCCGATCAGATTTAGCCCGATAGAGGTCGTTTTCAAGGTCAAAATCCACCGTTTTGGTGTGTTTTAGGGCTGTTTTAGTTGTCTGTGTGTTTTTTCCTATTTGATTTCGGGTTTTTTTTGTTTTAATTAATTTAGTTTTTTGTTTCCTTTTGATATTAGGAGTCTCATTAGGGTTGGTTGTCACCCTATATAAACTTATTTTTTGTTTTGGATGTTATTCAATCAATTATTCAGACTTATTTCAGATTTTAAGACTTAAATTTATGTGATTGAGACTTGTTATTAATTCTAAATGTGTAATTGAGTGCTAGCCTTGTTTTATCACATTAACTCGTTGCGTCATAGAGTAGCGCTCGGTCCACTTTCAAAATGAAAGGTTAAAGTTTTTTTTTAAAAAAAAAAAAAAAAAAAAAAGCAGCAGCTTCGATACTCATATTTTCATTAAACAAACAAGTTTCGTATAAATTCAATTTATTAAAGGGGTAGTTGTACACTGTCCAACAGATTTAGCTTAAACAAATCTGAATAGTTTTAGAAAAGAAAAATTACAAGTGATCATAATGAATTGCAAAACGAAGACTTTCTCAAGAAAAGAAAAAAGAAAAAAGAAGAAAACTCATGAATTCAGGAAAGCACAAACCTCAATTTTCAGATACGCAAGAAGAATTGCTAGCTATGGCTATCATATACATTGAATCGAAAGGGATAGTATCACAAGGATTCGTTGATATATTTTAGTTTAAAATACGTAGTCCATGACTCTCTCCACTAGGTTGTCAAAACGCCCTTGAAAAGGTACCTCAACTTTTAATTAATAAATTTAACACCAAACTCACTGACTACTGTACTTTTGAAATGGTTAATTACCCAAAAAAAAAGAAAAAACCTTAGGTTAACTTAAATTATGTTGATGCGAGATTTTGGGCACCAACTAATCAATACGTGTGCAACGTTGATTGATCAAAAAGCACACGTGAAAATGAATATATAAAGAGAAATAAATGCTATTAGAACTTTTAAAGTGGTTCGGATGCTAAGGTAGCAAGTCCTACGTCCACTGATTTGTATTGATAGTGAGTGTGGGTCAGGTCGCAACAGCGGACTAACTTACAAGAGGTTTAGAAAAAAGTAAATGAGTTGTTTACAAGGAGAGAGAGGAGAGAGAGTCTTTGTAAAAATGGTCGAATCCCTTAATGAAGGGGTTTCTTCTTCTATATCACAGCTGAAGCGTGTAACATCATATAAATTGGGTTGTGTGATTGTCAGGATATAATCCGGCTTTATGTCCCCCAACCTTCTTCCCAACTGAACTTCGCACGGTTTATAGCAGGAAATGGACGCGTGGAGCCATATCGGTTAGCAGGCCTGACGTGTGTGTTTGATGTCTGACGGGAGCAGGTCATCCTCCACGTGACCCTCCCACGTCAGCCCTTACTTTCCCAGGCATAACAGAAGCCCCCTAGTTGTAAGGTTTGGAGGTTCGAACCTTGGAAACTAACTGTGCCGTGATGTTTTAGTCGTTTTTCGAATGAACGGGGGAAGCTTGGTGCAGAATCCCTTGCGAGCACGACCCCGAGCTACCCTTGACAAACGACCTGATGACCATCATGCTAGCGGCCTGGATTCGTCGGGCGTTCCTTTCTATGCTGTGAGAGGATTCAATGGACCTGCATCTCGCGCTGCTGTCGGGCATCTGCTCGCTCTGGAATGTGTCAGGTGCATTAATGCGGTGTGCGACTCGACGTCGTATGACAGTCTTTTGACTGCGCAACGCCTCTGAAACGTCAGCCCTCATTTATGGCATTAATGCGACGTGGGGCCCATTAAATAGGGGAGGAGAGAGAGGGCTGTCGCTTCGGTTCCGAAGGTTGCAACCGTCGATCGTTGCCCATTAGAGAACTCGTGTTTTTCAGATGACGCCACCGACATTTCTTTGCTTCGAGTGACAAACCTTTGCAAACCAGAGATCTTCTTTCCCGATCGGCGCTTATCAGGCAACTGGAATGAATTTCGGCCTCGATTACGCATCCAGAGAGTAATTCTCTTTTTTTTTTTTTTTTTTTTTTTTTTTTTTTTTTTTTTTTTGATTTGTTTGGTTGGTGCAACGGCGTTGTCTCTCGGTGCTTCACCAGAGAAGTCGCACTGTTGTCGGACCGAGCCGTGGGTGGGGCTCGAGTTACTAATAGGGTTTAGGAGTTGTCCCTTGCCGCTGCACGGGGCAAACACAGAAGGATTAAATGACCGTGTCTGTCGATGTTGCAGACTCGAATGGATGTCAACGTCCAGACCCGAGGAAGGAACCAGCTCGTCCAGCGGGGAAGTTCCCGCGGACGCGTCCCTCGACGTCTTCTTGGTTGACGCCGAGAAGAGTTTGATAGGATGATGTAAAAAGCAATATAACGTCGAGCAGAGGTGTTCCTCGACCAACACCAGGTGGTCGTCGACGATCCTGCCGCAGGCTTGCTGCGATATCGAAGGATCTTCATAGGGGTAGGATGATTCTCCTCTTCATCCTTTCATCACGGTCCGTGTTGGATCACTTCGGGATCGCACGAGCACTTCACACCGAAAGACCGTATGTCATCGCCGTAGAGATGATACTATGCGGATGCGTGAGAGCGGCTCTGGGTGAGCCAACGGCGGTGGAGCTTGGCGGTCGCCTACTATCTCAAAAAGGTAGGGACAAGGACTAGTACTACTTGCCCGGCGACCTACCATGCCCGAGGGGATACTAGTTATCCCAGCAACGCAGGAGCCTACGAGACCAAATTCGTTCTTCTTCTGCTACGACAGCTACTGCCATTTCAGGCGCCAAGCAGTACTTCTTCGTTAGGTATATTGTCTGTTGCTTTGCCTTATGATAACGACCTGTGTTCTTTTGCATTAATAGAACACTGCCAAGAATGCTCGGACCCGGCAAGACTCGTATCATTTAGAGTGCTTCCGCGGAAAGCCGAGACGCGAGGAAGCTAGACCACCCCGAACCTGCAGAGAAGTACGGTTTTTTTATCGATAACACGCGCTCGTTAGAACCCCTCGAAGGTAAGGTACATGGGTTTTCCTCTCTGTCGCCCTGAAAAATTTTGCCTACTAAATTAGTGTTCCTGCAGAAATATGCCTCCGAAGGAGTCCGGGGGCACAGTTCGCAGCGCACGTTCGTTTTCCTCGATGAGGAGTGAGTGGAGGGCGGATCCGAAGTGCTCGTCCCATCCCGACACAACCAACACGAGCTGGCCACGCCCTCAGTCCCAACCGTTCTGCAAGGAGCGACCAGGGCGAGCGGGGAACCAGGCGTTCCGGCGTCCAAAGCGGAAGGCTCCAAAAAGGTCGAAGAGAGAGGAACAGGTTCAGGTCGATGAGTCTGAGACTGAATCCGAAGGAGGCCCTTGAGGTCGCGATAGACCTCAAGGAGGCTGGGCAAGGAACTTGTGGGCGACGGCGATCGCGAAGGATCTACACGTGCTCGACTACTGGGGGGGCTGCCCAAGTATGCTGCACCGATAGTCTATTCTTGCTCGAGTATGGACTATCAGGCGTCTTATGATGAGTGCGTGACACGGGCGACGACCTGCTGACCACGTCGTTCCAGCATCTTAGCCACAGGTAAGCGAGCTGCTCTAAGCAAGGTGAGCGGCTACTCTTAAAACATGGCTCATTTCTGATCCCACTTCTTGCTCGACGGCTTTGCTTGCGATGAGGATGTATATGGAGAAGACTCGGCTGGGGGCCGCAAAGGAGCTAGCGATCAAGAGGGATGCCGAAGTTAAGAAAACAGCTGGAGTCTGCCGAAGCGAAAGGAAATAGGCATTCGATGCGGCGACACAGGTACTGTGCAAAACTGGATGCCGCCTTGCAAACGTGGACTTACAGAAGGCGAGCTCGAGCCGACGCGCGGAGGCGGGGAAGGAGCTACAAAGGAACGACCGACAGGCTTCCAAGGAGGGTGGGGAGAAGGACCAGGGTCAATACGATCTCCAATGGGCCGAGAAGGCCCTCTTCCCCACTAGCAAGAAAGGAAAGAAAGGGAGGCTCCGAACAGGAGAAGTCGAGCTCTCGAGGGCCAACTCCAAGAGAGTCAGGAAAAGGTGCTTGCGGACTGAGGAAATGCGGGTTCAGTTTGAGGAAACAGATGGAAAAGGCCGTGACTGGCGCGATCGGGGCCATTTACACAATGCGACCAATGAACCGGGTCCTGACTTGTCGTTCCTCCCCCAGGTTGGCGAAGAGACCTTGGGCTCTCTGGCAA